CTGCTGGGCGGCGCGGATCTCCCGCAGCAACGCGTCGTTCCTCAAGCCCAGCTGCAGGAAAGGAGAGAGCGGAGGGGGTCAGGCAAGTCCAAGGGCGCCCACACCCGCACCCCCCTCCCGGGGGCTCCCCAGGAAGCAAAGGGCCGTTCCCTCGTGGGAAGCCACGGGCAGGAGTTCGCCCAGGGCGGCTCCTCACACCCCACCGCCTGGGCCACATCGCCACATTAAACTTGCAGGGAAAAGGGAACCCCTGGACTGGCTGCCGTCCCGCGGCGCCAGTAGCCCATGGCCTGCCCTGCCCGCCCCCAGCCCCGGGTAGACCCAGACCTTGAGGGTGTACTTGTAGCACTGCTCAGCCTCCAGCTGCCGTCCTCCCTAGAGAAACCACACGAGAGCAGCTGGTGAGGAAATCATCTCGCAGGGAAATAACATATTGTAAGAAAGTTCAGCATGGAGTACGTGCCCCGGTGGAGTAAGTGCATCAGGTGATGACAGGCAGGGAGGAAGGGCACTGCTTTGGCCAGCCGAGCACAGTCCCCAAACTATTTTTACCACTTAGATTTAGAACACGTTCCTCAGGCTGATGAACAGATGCCAACAGACCCCCTGCTCTGTCCCGCTGGCGGGGGTTGCTGCCTGGGAACTCACTTGCAGGCAGATGAGGGCAAGATATCCCCACACTTCAGCGTTGGTGTTATTTAGGGCATTGGCTTCAGAGAGAGCATCCTCTGCTTCCACCATCTCTTCCAGCTTGAGAGAGAGAAGGAGAGGCGTGGACAAAAGGCAAACAGCAGGCAGAAAGGGCTTCAGAACCAAAAGGGCACCTGCTCTAACAGCCAAAAAAAATATCAGTGCAATAAAAGCATCTGGCAGGGTTTCCTGATAGGGATGCAGGGAAAGGATTTAGGGCAGAGCCAACCAGTTCTCCTCAGTGCCAGCATCTAGCTCTCCTGTCTGGAGCACAAGCCTCTTGCCACTGACTCCTGGCCCCCGTAGGAGCACGTGCTGTATTTACAAATCAGCCCCCAGCTGTAAGGGAAGCAGCACAAACGCCTTCGCCTCCACCTCTGGGAACGGAGGGGTCCAGCCCCACAGGGAAACACAGCTCTAGTCCTGATCCCTAGTCCCACTGCACAGTGGCTCTGGGGAGGCAGCGGTGCTCCCAGGCCACCACTCACCTCCCTGTCTCAATTCCGCAGCTTCCCAGGAGGTGATGTTTGGCCAAGGGGGAAACAGAAGTTCAAAGTCCTTCCCTGGGTGCAATCCTCAGCCAAACTCCCTTGGAGGCACCTCACAAGGTGCACCTCTAGGAGATACCACGCTGCTGGTGTCTGGGTGTCCTTGGCAGCCCTTCAGAGGCACTGGATTCTTTTGGGCAGGGAAAGCACTGAGATTCCTCCCTGCTGATTTTCTGCTCAATTCCTTCGTGGTGACGTGCAGGTCATGTGCAGGCAGGCACTCGGAGCAAAGCCTGGGCCCAGATTACGTGCTTGCCATGACATCCTGGGGAAGAGGTGTTGGCAGGTCCTGGCAGCAGGACGACTGGGGGAAGGAATCCTGTTCCCAGAGCAGCTACCAAGGGTGCCTGTACTCTGACATATCCCATACAAGGAGCCCAGGGTGCCCCGCTGGAACTGTGACAGCACAGGGCACACAATGGCCTTCAGGAGCATTGGTTTCGCAGGCAGCCAAGCTTTACTTTAGCAAAGGGGATCATGCAAAAGCAAACCTTCCATCCCGTGCCACAGAGCCTGTTAAAGCACAGATGACCTGAAGGTAATTACACTTACCCTATAGCAGGCAATTCCCACTCCCAGCCAGGTGAGACAGGACGCAGAGTTCTTGCAGGCAAGCAGGTAGGTCTGCTTCGCCCGGCCATACTGCCAGGAGAGAGACGATCATGTTTCTCTCTGCATCAAACACATTGCTTTTCAGAGAGCCTCCCCTCCCCCCCTCCACAGGAATTTGCCAAACACCCCATCTCTGGTAGGGCTCAGACACCCCCGTCCCCACCATTGCTGCGGGGGCTGAGCACCTGCCCGCTGCCCCTGACGCGGTGGCTCTGTGCTGGCAGGTACTAATACAGTAATGTAGAAGTCACCCTCATTGCTAGGATGGTGAGAAATGGGTCAGCTGGCTCCCGAAACATTGCAACCGGGACCTGGAGCTGGCAAAAAGGCAACAGGGCAGATCGATACTCCAAGGAGTTGAGCACTCCAGAAGGGTTTGCTGTGTTGTGAGATCCTGGCTATAGCTACAGAGAATGGTGTCTTGTACTTGGGGTCTGGAATCTCCCGCTATTTGTTTTGTGGCAAATTCCTTTCCACCACTCCTGCTGGCTCCTCACCTCTTTCTCTTCCAGGTAGATGGAGCCCAGGCGCAGGTAGACGAAGTGCATATCTGCAGCATCCTCCAGAAGACTGATGGTTCGCTCATAGCACCCTTTTGCGTCACCAAAGTCCCTCTTCAGGTAGCACAGGTGCCCTTTCTGAGCCCAGACATTTGGATTCTGTGCACACAAAACCAGGAGTGAGACGTGGCTGGGAGACAGGAGTGAGAGAGACTTGGGAGACAGGGACCCTTGCCACAAGCAGAAAGGAAGAGCTGGCTGGTGCAGATTTTACATACAGAATTAAAATCAAGTCAGCAGGCTGCCTGCATAACACCAGCAATGGAAGCCCCCTCCAGCCTCTCCCTGCACAGCACCCTGGCCTGTGCAAGGTCCCCCAGGTATGGTCATATGCCAACAGCATTTGAAGGTGTCAGCTTCCTTCTGCCTTCCCTTCAACCTGACTCCCCAAAGCTGCCTTCCCTCTGCTGAATAGCATCCTTGTTTCTCATGAAACAGAGCCTGACTCACCAACAGAGGGAAAGAGGATCAGGATACACATGTTCAAAGGGAAAAGAAAGGCAGATGCTGCAGAGAGAGGAGTCCTCGCTCAGAAATACTGCCTGTCTGTGCCAGGAGAGGACAGAAGGCAAGTAATAAATGGGTTAATGAGGAGGGCTGTGCTGCAGCCACAGCCTGATGTGGTTCATCAGCTATGATTGTCCTCCCCTGCAGCAACTGCTGCAGACTAGCATTAGAATTGCTTGAGTGGAAATGAAGCATGGGCTCTAGGTTCACAAGCAGCAACAACACAGGCAGGGTCTGGCATGGTGTTTGGCCAGTGTCCTCCTTTGGGACACGGTGCTGCACCCTGGGAACACACACAGCATTACCATGCAGTCAATCCTAACAGCCGCATGGAGACATTCTTCACATTTGGAGAGATCTTCTTTCAGCAAGGAAGTCTGGGCCAGCACCAGGTAGTATGCACAGGAGGGACCTCCCTGAAGGCTTAGCAGCTCGTGGGCAAGCGCCCTGTGAACAAACTGTGGAGGAACAGCACACCGCCATGGTTCTGAGAGCAGGCAAACCACGGGCACCCCCAAAGATGCAGCAGGAGCACTGACTTGCACCTATTTGTCTTCCATGAACAGAAAACAAACAGGAGATTCTTTTTTCCCCTCCTTTGAGTATTCACCTCCTTTACTTCTAGTTCTGTTTTGCTTTAAGCAACTCTTCCTGCTATGTAAAATTAAGGCAGTCAGAGTGATCTCACAGAGATAACTGTGTGGGACAAGGACATTCCACAGGTGACACAAAAATTACTCTGACATACATAAGTGTCTGAAACAAGAAAGGAGTACTGGCATCTTGGAAGCACCACAATAATGGATCTCATCTCCAAATGTACAGAGAACACATCTGCACATGTCTGACTTGGCTGTCCCCTCCTTGGTAAGCAGTGCTGAGCTGAGGTGCCCCGAGAATGTCACCTGCCTGAGGTGACTGTGTTCCCAACCAGAATTTCGGTCTGAATACACTGCCTGGCCACAGTTTTGCATTTCTGGACAGTGGTGGTTTTGCTGCTTCTCGCACTTGGCATCTGCGGTAGCCACAACTTGTTCTCCAAGCCCAAGAAGGGGGCTCACTGGAGCTTGGTGGAGCTTGCCACCAGCTCTTTGGTAATAACACAGGGAAGAAGACCAAACCTTCCTTCCCACTCCTCCACTCCACAATGAGCTGACCTGGATGGCATTGACTTTCATCAGGAATTCCACTGCCTTCATGAAGATTGTGCAGGGAGGTTGGCCAAGGGCTGAACCAGGGGATGGTGCTGCAAGAAAATGTGTCTCCATCAGTCCCAAAGTGGGCTTTTTATTTCTGAGGCAAGAGCAGGGACTGAGACCCTGGCAGGGACAGAGGAATCCCAGCAACACAGTGTAAAACCCAGGGGGTGGCAGGAGAGGCTGAAGCAGTGATTAACTCTGCATTTCTTCCTGAAGGGCTTAAGTTTTGTAAGAAATGTGAAAAGAAACAATGCTCCTCACCCACTAATTTTCCAGTCCAAACTCAAAGGAAGAAAAGCTAGGAATTTATGACTGAAGCTTGTTGGAGTTAACTAGAATGAGGCCCCTTCCTCCCCAAACCAACCCAGTGGGGCCTCAAGCACCCAGCACTGCCATCTCTTTGCCAGCCACTGGAGGAGAGTGGAGCTGTAGAAGAGGCAGATCACACAACACACGACCAGAGGAGATCTGTAGGGACAGTTTAAGAGCTGGCATCTCAGGAGGGAGACATCTGAGCAGCCAATGAAGGCTGCTGGGTGCCGTGACATGCAGGAAAAGAGCTGCATTCACCTGATGACTGTCCATCCTGAGATGTGCTGCTCTGAAAATCAGGATGAACCTGCTTTGCCTAGAGATTCCCCAGCTAGGGAGAGAGAACAAACTTTGATGTCTTGCCTCGGCATCAGGATGACCACGGCTCAGTGCTCCTGAGTTACTCCCCTCCCCACTGATCACACGAGGACATCTCCCAGGATGGGGCTCTCCCTTACACGCCAGGCCCCATGCCCTAACCTTTTGGGGCTGCCTCTGGTGCAGTAGCCTCTTCCCCGGGTGCTACACAGGCCAGCTCCAGCACCTCTGGCAGTTTGTCGGCTGAGCTGTCAAGAACTCTCTCTGGAATGAAACCCCCAACAACTATTAGATGCAAACAAAGAGTATGCCATAAACTGCCCAGTTTGAAGCATGATTCCACAGAAATGAGGAAGAGAAAATATAACAGATCTATCAGATTTTCAGAACTGGGAAGAAATTTCTTTGCAGGAGGCAATACCTAGGTCTGGGGTTTTGAGTACAAGATTACCATGTAAAACTAGAAATGAGCATAAATGAGGCAATATCCATTCCCTCATAACCAGAAAGGCCAAAAAAAGGCCTGCCTGCCTGAGACATAGAGGTGGTGGTAACATTAAAAATAAAGCCAGCCAACATTTCCCACAGCCTGGCCAAATATTTGAGACTCAGGACAGAAAGTTTTGGCTCAGGGTGTGGCTGGGCTCAGCAAGCCTCCAAAGGACCCCTGTTCAGTGTCACCACTGAGCAGCTGCTTTGCCATTTGAATCGGTGAGGCAGTGCTTTCCAAGCTGTGTTGGGAAGTCACAGCAACAGTTCTGATGAAAGCTAAACCTGGATGACCCTAATGTACGACTGTCACAGGGGCAGCTCTGCCCTCCCAAAGCTTCAAAAAGCACACTCGCTTCCTCCAGCCACCCTGGCCACTGCCTGTGACACATTGCTATATCAGCGACACTGGGCTAGGGCAGAAAAATAAATGCAAAGACTGGTCCCTCTGCTAGGCTGTGGGTAAGACAAGGTATTGGCAGTGCTGCTTTCAGAAAGCTTCATCATTTAAAGCAGCACACTTGCTGCTGCTGTCTCTTGCTGGTGAAGTTTGTGGTCAGTCTATTCTAGCTCACAGTCCACCTATTTGTCCTTTATCCTTTGTATTTCTCCTCTTAGAAATACTAAGAAATTTCTCCTTCTTTCCACTGCTCCCCATCTCCCACACTGCTCCAAGCGCCCTCCTTGCTGGTGCTAGGGCACCTCCTGGTTTTGCCTGGCGTTACCTGGCAAGCACTCTTCTGGCCCTGGGCTGGGAGACCTCACACACCCAGCAGAAATGTGTTTTTTCCCTCCTTCTTCAGCAGCCTCAGGGATGCTCCTCTCCTTGGCGAGCTCTGCTCGCAGTAGCTTCTTAGCCTCACGGAAGGCCATTTCCGCCTGAATATTATTATTCTGCAGCTCATAAAACAAACCTATAAGGATACAGAAAGAGCCACATAAGTAGGCACCTGACCATTAGCCAAATCCTCCCTTAGCCCTCAGATTAGAGCAGGGAGAGGAGGATCAGGGGTGGAAGTGATGCTTGGCTCTACAGGAACGCTTTGAGCACGCAGGCTGGCATGCTTTTGTACCTGAAAGTGTCCAGGCTACAATGTTGGATGGCTCCAAGCAGCAGGCATCCTCAAAGAAAATCTCTGCCTCTTCATAGTGCTGCAGTGTGACAGCCACAATCCCACAGAGCAGCAAGCTGGGGACCGGGCTAGACAGGTTAACCTTGCAGGACACCCCCCCACCCTCCCTCACTCCCACCCACCGGGAGCACACAGCACCTCTGGATGTGATGGGCGTCCAGAGAAAGAGCCTGCTGGAAGCACTCCTGGGCTTTGGTTGTTTCCTCAAGCAGGAGGCAGAACGCCCCATAGTCCAGCCAGTACTGAATGTTGTGCTGGTCCTGAGCTACCCTCTAGACAAAAGAGAACATTGCTGGAGTGAGGAATGCTGGAATCATGCTCAGCACACACAATGGACTGGGGAGACAACTCTGGAATGACCACGGCTTTCCTCTGGCCACCCAGACCAGTTTAGCAACAATCAAGCCCTTGACTATCACACACTAGGATTTCCCTGTGCTGGGCTTCCTCTAAGCCTCCTTCACATAACACACGTCCTCCAGCTGCAGCAGACCTCCTCTAGCCTGTTAGAGGGCCCAGGGTCCCCAGTGCTGACCCAGCAAGCCTTTTGGACCAGCCCGTCCCATTTCCCCTGGGCTCAAGGCTGAAGTCCTCAGTGAACTGGCCAGGCTCTGTCTCACATCCTCCAGAGAGCAGCATCTCCCTAGAAAATCCCTCAAACATTCAACCCGAGTATCCTGGTCATGTTCACCTCCTTCCACCCTACACAACAGTCAGGGATGGCTGAGCTGTCACCAACAGGGGCCCCACACCACCGCGCTGGTGTGCTGGCTGCCAGCCCAGACACACAGGGGATGGGCAGGAAAGAGCAGGGGCTCCTTTACCTGCTGGTGGTAGAGAGATGCCAGCTTGTAGTCCTTGTTGACTTCAGCTTCATGAGCAAAGAGCCAGAGCTGCTCCTCTGTCGTGCGGGACAGAGGAACAGGAGAAGCGGCTTCCTCAGACAGTAGCTGGTAGAGACCAAGACAGAGTGTTAGCCCTGGAGAGGGTAAGAACAGTTCATGTGACCCCAGAACAGCAGCAGTCCCCAGTCTGGCACTGTGCTGAGTACAGCCTGGTATGGCTGGGGGTGAGCGGGTTGGAAAGGCAAGCTGTCCCAGCTCCTGTGTGTGCTGGGACACATTCCTGTCATTCCCAGGTACCTCTGCCACACAACATCCATTATTTGCAGCTGTGGCAAGTAAAAGCATCCCCTAGATCAAGAACATGTTAAACTTCCATGGTGTCACTTACTGGTGACCCCAGCTGATGCGGGATAGCCCCCAGGTGAGAGGCAGATGACACCAGACTCAGACACCCTCACCAGGAGCCAGCTGAAGCAGCTTTTACTAGTGGCATCTTGCACACATCCCACTGTCAGGATTTCGTAGCAGCGGAATACAGATACCCTGGACCCTGCCTCTGAGTGTGGCTTGGAGCTCACATGTGATAACTGCAGCAAATGAAAGCATGAGCCTGCTTCTGTCTTGAAGACAAAAGTCCCCCGACTTCACTAGAGAAAGTGTCTAGCACTGAACCCACCAGGAAGTCATGTCCCAAGTGACCCAGGTTTCTCCCTACCTGGTTCAGGGCAATGTGCATCTGGTCCACGAGGTACACATAGAGCTCACTGAGAAATGCCTGTAACTGCTCCTGGGACTCAAATGCTGTGGTCTTCAGGTATTTCTCCCTCACAATCTTCACAACAGCATACTGTGGAGACATGTGACTTGGACAAGGCAGTCCCCCCTGCACCCCCCACTAGCTCTGTATTCCTACAAAGCCAGAACACACCAATTTTGCCCAACGCTCAAACTTAGTTCTGAGGAAGAAATCCAGCCCAGCACTGATAAAAGTGAAAAAAAAAACAAGCAGGGGTGAATTCCCTTCTCACCTCCCAGCCCCGTCCACCCCCTGACACACCAGTGCCCCTCTAGAAACATGTGGGAAGGTTTGTCCCCTCAGCACAGAGAGAGGGTCTTCAGGCAGAGTGTGGTTGAGGTCAACCAGCTGAGAGAGGGGAACCCCCTTTTTCTTCCAGGGTAGACTGTGAGTGTGCAAGAGCAGTCAGCTTTGCCTTCCTCAGGCTATGAGCATGGGGCAAATGGATGTAATCATTTGGAGTCTCCTCCCATTGACAAGGAATGGTTCTGCTGGTATGTGACCAAAGCAGCTTGGTGCCTGCTCTGTTAGAGGAGAACCTGTCCCCCCCATGCCACAGGTGGCAGAAAGGGATTCTGGAGCAACACATCACCCTAAGTTACCACCACGGAGCAGCAGTTCCTCACTGAGAAACTGCAAGGACAAAACAAGTAGGGAAGTGAAAAGCACATGTGGACTCTTTACCTTTAGCTGTTCTTTAAAAGCAAAATATTTCCCAGAGCTGTTGAGCTCAAAGTTGAGCTGACGCTTCTGTTCCTCCAAGGTTTGGTGGTCTATCACTCCCTGGTCAGGCAGCTGCTTCCCAAAGAGCTCATGGTATTCATTTAGGATGGCAACAGCAATGCTCGTGACACGGTTGTGATAATCTTCCACAGCCTAGGAAAGAAATAATCAAACTTCACATTTCACTTATGCCATCAACCTTGAAATGTATTTTGTCAGAGCCCACGCCTCCCATAAACTCTGCCTGACTCAAGTCTCAATTAGTCTGTCACGCATCCTTTACTGTCCATGCCCAAGGGCTGTGAAAATATCGACATGTAAATACAAAAGGGCTCCTTCATAATTAGATATTGCTTCTGCTGTATTTTTCAATCAGAACCCAGTATTTCAGTCACAGTTGTCTCTTCTATGGCAGTATAATTGGCTGGAAGTAAAATATATCTCATTTGCTGAAGAGCCTTTTAAACCCCTTGGGCCAGCCCTCTTCAGAAGAGTCTGTAATCTTCATCATCTTGGTGGCAAAAGCTTCCATGCACTTCGATAATCAAAATGTATCACTGTGCACTCCAGACAGTCCGGCACAAACCAATTCTGCAGCAGCACTGGAGTCAGTTATTGAAGTGCTGCTTTTTCCCCCACTGCTGCTTTGAATTTACCATCGGTCAGGGACCATCCGAGGACATTCTCCTTTTATGGCTGCTCTGTACCCACAGAAAAAGAGCCAGTGCTCTCAAACCATTTTCTGAGGATGTTGCACACACAGAAGTCCTCAAAAATTCTGGATGACCCAAGTGCTGGTTCATGTTTGTCTGGGTCTAATGAAGCACATGGACTGCCCGGGGTAAACATAAGGTTCTGGCAGCCTCTTTCCCCACCGTCCTGTTTCCTTCCAAACACCCCCACGCTGCTGCCTTGCCTGCCTTTGCTACATCTCTCCCCTTTGTATGGACTGTGAACATGAGTGATGCAGCCCAGAAATTATTTCCCAATGCATACTACTGCAAAGATAACACATCCAGAAGTTTTCTTTTCTGCATATTTCCTCTTCAAACCTCATCTACATGTTGCTGTGGGGCTGAGATTGAGAATGAAGATTCTCCTGTGTGAGAGGGATGAGGGCAGGATGAGGTGGCAGAGCAGTGGCAAGGCCACAGGCTCTTGCACGTACCTTTTTGGCTCCTGCAGTCCGGGGAGGCAGCGGAGCGCGAGGAGGAATCATCTGTTTGACTCTGTCAACGAGAGGACAGAAGAGATCAGCCACATACACTGCCAGTAACGTCAGCTCGTCCTGGGCACAGGCAGCCTGTAGTGTGAGGGCTCCATCCTGTCATCATATCCCTGAGACACCTTACAGGGACCCAGGGGGAAAACTGAAGTCTCAGACCAAGAATGAACTGTGAAGACCAGGCAGCTACATTCAGTGCTTGTAGCTTATCACAGTAGAGTTAACATTTGTTATTACTAGCAATCAAAAACACTCTCCTAGAGAAGCTGATCTTCTTTAACTCACAACCTCCTGAGTCTGCCAGAACAGCTATAAGAAAGGTACCAACCTGATAAAAGCTCTAAAGAATTTTATCACTGTAAACCCTCGGCTATCTGATCCATCTGTTCCCAACATCGCAGTGTGCAGCTGTGGCACCTCATCCCTTGGCCATGCAGTGACCCCTGGACACCATAGCAACCCTGTCTGTACCACTACTAGAGTTACAATGACCTTTCAATTATGGATCAAAAGCCCTTAGGATTACCATAATTTTTACTAAGATTTTATTAAAATCTGTGGTGTCAAACCAGCATACATTCATTGGGATTTTTATTAAGATTTCCTGCTTGCTGGCACCAAAACACCTTTGGTCCTTAGAACATAGTCCAGCTCACCAAGCAAAGGTGTTAGATCCCTGTGATGGCTCCTACCCAATTAGCAAAGCAAATTGCTTATTCTCTGACAAATATAAACCACTCTTACAACTGTTCTGCCAGCTTACAGAGGCCCTGACGAGCTGCCTTCTCCAGGTCCCAAGCCCTGCCCACTTCTCCCACACAAACCCCTCTTGCACTCTCTGCTGTGTGGTCTAGTGCCATGGCTGTGTGGTGCCCTTGCTCTGCACAGACCTGTCACTGCTCCTTGGGAAGCCACAAAGCCCAAACAAGTGGGTAGTGCAGCTCCCACACTTACAGTCCCACCCTTGCCCAGCCTCAGAACAGCACCTGACACTGACATGTTACCTCCACCAGCAGTACACATGAAAAGCAAACTGCTTCATTTTCAGATGAGAAAAAGAAAACCAACGACAACCTGGGGAAAGCGTGTGAGCAAAGAGGGCCAGGCAGAGGCTGGCAGAGGATTTTGGATGGAGCCCAAGAAAGAAAGCTATGGTTTGCTACTATTTAAAAACCCTTCCAGAAAAAGATCCACTGTTGATCTTGCCTGCTAGGACACTCGTGGCATCAGCTGGAGCCCTCCAAAACAAAGCCCTTCCCACAACTCAGGAGGGCTCATTTTTCAGACCTGACATCTGCAGCTGTGCAAGGCAGATGAATGAGGAGGAGTTACTACTGCAAGTTGCAGAAGAGTAGAAATGGTATAAAAAGGGCCAGAAGGTCTGTTCTAAGGTTAGGGGGGTGTCACCTTCCTCAATGTGTTCTTCCTAGAAGACAGCAGGTAGCACAGAAGACAACACACATACTTTCCCTTCAAAGAATGGCTGCTGCTTATGTTTCTGTTTGAGAGGCATACCGCCTGTGCTTGTTATACTTTATTCATTTGCTGCATTTTCTCTTTTTTATTCAATAAATTATACATGCTAGGCCTTTCCTAGACTGTAACGCAGCAGGGCTACCACTGGACAGGAAGAAACTGCCTCAAATCAAACAGACAGTGGAAGACTCAAAGCAGCAGAAATGAGAGAGCAGCTCTACAGCAGAACAACATGAAAACTAATGTAACAGCTGAGGAATGGGTAGAAGATTGTGAGAAAACTTCTGAAAAGGAAAAAATGTCAGAACGTTATGGTGAGGTTACAGCAGCACTACCCAGGGCAGTCCATGCTGGTGGCCAGTCCCCATCAAGCAGCTTGCCAACATCACGTGCAAGAGGGGATTAACAGGAAACAAAGCCCAGTCAGGAGCGCAGACACTGTTGTGCTGCTCTGGTGTCTCTTTTTGAGAGGAATGGCAGGGAGATGCCAGCTCGGATGAATGCAAGTGTTTTCCCAACACACCAGATGCTACCTCTTAAGCAGTCTGGCCAAATCCTCCCCCTGATTCCAGTGGGCTCTGGCTCAGGCCCTCAGTTGGTCCTTACGGAGTGCTCCAAGGGGGTGGCTTGCTGTACAGCCCTGTTTCTATCCTGCAGAAATGAGCTGTCACCCCCGAAGTTACAGCACATCCTTACGCACCGTCTGGTGAGCTCCTCTCGCAATCGCTTCGGTACCAAGGCCTTGTCCAGCTTTATCTCCATCATCAGGAACGTTCCTGCTTCAGCGTATTGCTGTGAAGATAAACATTGCTCTCTCAATGTCATGCTGTCTACAGCCATTACTGGCATGATGAAAGACTGAGAATATAGGCACAGATCTTCAGCAAATGCTATTCAAACTGCAGAGATACAGCTTGTTTTATAGCCTGCCCTCCGAATGATTTACAGCAGCAAAATTCAGCTCAAGAAACCAGTCAAGGAAAAAGGAGAAAGCCCAGATAATCAATCTGCTTGCAGAATGAATATGCATTCTAGATGTTTTAAGGAAGAAGCCAAAGTATGAAGGAACCCTTTTAAATAAATGTCTGGTTATTTACAGAGACCTTCTAGCCCTATGCTAGACTGCCCTCCAGCTGGATGTCACTGGAAGAACTCCAGGACAGCACCTACATAAAACCTAGTCCAACTCACTCTTGAAGAATTTAATTGCGTGAAAGGTGTGAGACACTGGCGCAGTGATGGTCTAGCAGTCTTTCCTTCTCTTTGGAGATACATAATTACCTGTCCATCAAGGCTGAGATATGTGACATTTTCAGTTTCTACAGTGGCATCTGACAACTGGGTTTTGGGCACGTTGGACATCTATTGAAGAAAAAGGAAAGAGGTCTCCTGTTTCAGATTCAATAAACCTCACACCTTCGCAAGTTCAGGTTGTGAGTTGTATATTTGTTCAGGCAGCATGTACTAAAATTTCAAGATAATGAGTATCTCTCACTTGGCTGAGGCATCAGCCCCTGGTTTCTGCATAGCCCAGCTACCTCTGACGTGGAAATGGAGCAACCATGTTGCAATATGCCTCTCTAGACCTTACCCTTCTGTTGGAATCCTTATCTCTGGTGAGTTTCTCTTTGTCTTCCTTCTGAGTCTTGCTGGGAGCAGCTCTGGAAGGAGGAGTACTGATTCCTGAGGTCCATGACTCTTCCTTAGTCAGACTGATCTGCGTCCTGAGATCCCAGAAAACACTGTGCTGACTTTTGGTCTGAAAAAAAAAAAGAGGCAACAGAGGGAATCAAGGGACAAATTAGGCTTCCCCACCCCTTTTCCTTAACCTCTCAATACAGAACACATTGTCAGGGTCCTAAATGCATTAACAAGCTATGCAGCCTCATCCTCCCCTCCTACCAGTGCTCAAGGCCAGCTCTGATATCGTACAGCTGTGAAGCCTTAGGTCAGACTATGAAAAGAGCTGCCCGAGAAAGCCTCACTGGGGTCTCTGCCTTCTCTTGAGAGCTGTATTTTCACCAAGGCACTGGCCCTTGATTCTTGCCTGAGCTATGTGATAGATATATTGGAACCTAGCCCTGTGCTGCCCTGACTCACTGGCCTGAATTCCCAGCTTGATGCTGGACCTGCCTCACAGCTATGGACTTGCCTGGTGATGTGGACTGTTAGATGAATCTGGCTACCCTCACCAGGTCTGCTCTGCGATTTTTTGCATGCCCCCACCTGCCCTGCAGTGATTCTCAGCTTCTGGCTCACCTTTTAGTGTGGAGCAGCTTCCCTGATGCACATCAATGAATTGTAAGGAACGGGTTTTCAGATTGTCTGTTTACACACTGCTTGACCACCTAGGCAGGTGGTTCTCTCCCAGCCCTCACTGTTATCCAGGCTAACAAGAACTGACAAAAGGATGGAGCAGCTGTACTGAGATCATCTAAATCAAGGCCAAGGAGCAGCCAAAAGCATCCACAAAACCAGAGAATGAGAATGACAGGGAGAGCAAGAGTCACTTCACTTCCGACAGATATATGCTACAGGATAAGTAGTACCACACAGCAAGAGGCCATTAATTATGGTGATGAAGCAGAGAGCAGCAAACAGCTGTGTGTCTAGCGCTGCTTTCCAACTGCCAGCGGGAGCGTGGAGGCCTGGAGAAGGGCTGTAATTCACCCAGCTCCTGCGGCCTGGACAGCAGCACTACGGGGGCAGTGGGCAGAAAAACCATGCTGTGCATCTGCCTTCCTGAAACGAGCTCAGGTCTGTTCCAGGAGTACTGTGGGAACATGGAGATGTAACCGTCAGTCTTAGTAACAGAAGGGGGAGAAACGCAAATACAAATAAACCTCTGTAAGCTACGTCTGAAAGAGCTCCAGTGACAGCTTTTTTGGTTGTTGCCTGGGGTAACGCTATCCTTTTAGAGTCACTGTTTGCTCTTCCCAGCAACGCAGTTCATTTGCCCATGTTCCAGACTGGGGAGAGAGGAGCATTCTTACAGCTCTCCCTGCTCAGCTGTTGACAGAGAAGGGAGTGGAGTGAGATTCAGAGCCTCTCTCAGCCCCCAAACCTGCTCCCGCACGCCCAGAAATCCCCTGCCTTTGAGAAGTCTGCACATAAAAGCTTGGCTTGTTATTTTTCTCCATCACCAGAAAGGCAGTGAAGTTTCAGAGCCAGTCTCTCAGTACCATGCTGCCCGTGCTGCCCATCCTCCCAACCCTGCTCTGCGCAAACAGCTGCAGAGTGGAGCTGAGCTGGCTGGCTGCTCTGCTCTCACCTTCTCAAACACCTCGCTGTCCTGGTAGGCAAAGACACGAAAAGCGCCCCGGATCTGCTTCACACCAGGGCACAGCAAAGGCACCATGTTGACATATGCCACGCCATGGAAGGAAATCTGCTTGTCCTCATCTCCCTGGAAACACAGAGCAAGGGACTGAGATACTGAACGGACTGTTACTGTCTTTAAGGAAACAAGGTCACCGATTCCATTAAGAAGAGGGCACACAGCAAACTGATGCACCTGATGAGCCAGTGGCTCTCTGTCACTGGCACACAGCCGAGACAACCTGGATGAATACACTGGAGTCGTTCAATATGTAGAATATCAATTTTATCCCACTTTCTGCAGATTTTCTCTCTAATACCCCCACACTGTGCCATTCCTCAGGATGATCTTTTTGAGATACAGCTGCAAAATTATCAACCATGTGGTTAGAAATCCAAGAGACTCTAACAGAGCCGTGCATCTCAGGTTTGACAGAAATCAGGTAGCTAATGGAGGTCTGAGAGTCCAGGCTAGCAGCAGACTGGTGAGGGTAAGGAAAGAGGATCTCTGCCAGAGCCACAAAATCCTGGCACCAGTGAGTGTTGAAAGGGATTTATACCAACTTGAATGACTTTGCCCTGGAACAGATTAGGAGCTCTCATGTGATCAGCTGCCAGGAAAAGAACCACTAGCTAAGGGGCTGTTTCTTTGTTAAACCACCTCAGTTTACGTGCAAAAGCATATCTTATTTACACCCCATGAATGAAGGCATGAATTTCTTCAAGATGCTCCAAAAACCCATTGACTGAAGATAAGCTTGGTGAATTACCTTAATTCTGAAAAAGCACCCTCTCCCTGACTCCTTTCCACCAAGCTACCACAGACCATCAGCAAGAGCTCTGTATGCTAGAAGGAAAAAATATTATCCTTTGTCTATTTAACAGCTCTATAAGGCTGATTAATCCCTTTACAAAGCCTCTAGCTCTCTGACTCGCTTTGGCTGGTTCAAGGCTGGTTTTGGTATTACAAAGGCATTGAAAGGAAAATGCTCGATAACACAATGCTGCTCCACAAGCCAGAACAACATATCCCTCCCCACTTTTACCTTGTCAGCTTTGCTGGTTTTCCCTTTGCTGGATGAGGCCACAGACATCCTGCAGACCTCCACGGGCCAGTACCGGCACTCCATGATGCGCTTCTGGAGGCTGAACAAAAAGGAGGATGCTGAGAAGGTGCAGAAACCAAGCTGGAGAGCCACCCCACCCTTTTTTCTGCCCCAGCAGCTCCAGAACATCCCTCTCTGGGTTTGCTTCGACCCAGCTCCACACCAAGCACCCTCAGGCCACTGGAACATGTGTGCTTTGGGGCAGGCTTGGTACATTTTCTTCTCCATCCGCTGCTGTGTGCATTTATGGCATAACCAGCTATAATATAATTGTGAGAGCAACACACTAGGTCTTCTCTCTCCCCTGGTTACTTCAGGAATGAAACGATTAAGAAGGAGCATGATTAACTTTGGTATAAATCCTGAATTGCACAGAGCAAGTGGACCCTGAGCTCCCATTCAATGTGCCTGGGTAACTTTGAAACCAGCAGGCAAGCTGATGGAAGTGTAGGGGGAAAAAAAGATTAAAAAATCAAACCAGATGATCGAAGGGAGTATTTCCACAGGAGGAGTAATTTGGCTGTGAAACTATAGCCATGATGCAGCTGAGGCCAAGAATGTAGCAGGATTCAAAGAGAAATGGGATACTCATCCTGCTCGTGAGTGTATCTGGAGCCATTAAAGGTAATATTTATCCCGTAAAAAAGAAAAAGAAGAGAGCCCATACGGAGTGAAAGGATTTTAATGTATTGGGAATTCAGCAAAACTTAATTAGCAGCTCAGAGGAGAGCTGTGTGGGCCACCTTATTCCATGTCTGTTCACCACAACTCTGCTGCCCCTTCCTTCAAACCATGGAGGGAAGAGTCACCAGCTCCAGTTGCTGGCAGCATGAGTGAGTGTTTACAGCCTGGAGACAGCAGCTACAGACAATTCATCTTCTCCCACTGTAGCAGAAGTAAGCTGCTGCCAGCAATTAAAGGCAGTTAGCTGTTCCCTTGCTGATGTGAACACCTTTGGCCAACAGGCAGCCCCAGGAGCCACGGGAGGTGAGGCAGAGCCATGGTTTGATCACATAAGAGGTCTGAGAGCACCTGCATGTTGCCGCTCCCTGCCTTAGGTCACTCAGCTCAGTGTGTTCTGGGGTGGTTTCTCCCCACCGCTCCATGCTGCAGGGAGGTTTGCAGGTCCCTTACATGGCTAGTGTAGCAGGATCCAGGTAACAACGCCTTTCCGTGTCCCATACGATTCTCTTCATGTTTTCTGCTTGGATCCTAAATTCCCTGTCCTGTGAGAAACAGCAAGTGATCAGAGCCAGGACAGCAACCTCCACAGCTTGCATTATCCCCAGGTCATCCCCAAAAATGTTCCCTGGGGGAGAATGTGAGTCAGACAGAGGTGTCTAACTCACCACACACAGGCCATCCTAGCAGAGTAAGTTAGAAGCCCTTCCTGCAGAGACCAGAGCATGTTAGTATTAAGAGCCTGGCTCACAGGGATATAATACAACCCCCAGCCCTGTGGCTCAGGCATGGGCAGCTTTCTGGGGAGCAGACCTACCACATGCACCCTAGGGAACTCTCCTAAGGTGAGTTAGCACACCTGCTGTCCCAGAGGAACCACCTCCATGTTTGCACACTGCGCAGAGAACCAACCACTCGCCTGCCTCCCGTAACAAGTCTCTGCAAGTCTTTCTCAGTCCCCTCAGTGAGAGCTGGTGGTTCTCTTCCAGCCACAACACTGCCAGTCCTTCCTCACCTCTCTTTTGTTGAGCTCTCCATCCTCATCCTCATAAGGACCACCAACAATGAAGGAGTTGGGTATGCTCAGAGCGCCAGGGGCCATGATGTTAGCAAGGGGCCATTTTTTGGGCCGGGGTAATGGCTCTTTTTCACCAGCAAGCTTCAGGATGCCATTCGTGAAGAGCAAGGGGAATTCCTTCTAGAGACATGAGAATGAAAGGACTTGCATTTCCACCATGAGCAGGAGGAAGTGCCAGCTGCTCGGAGCTGGGTCTAACAAAGTAAAGCAGCAATGCAGGGGCCTGACTTCGAAAACACACTCTACCACACGCATACAAAGAATGGAGAAAAAATAAATAAACCTGCCAGTTTCAATATAAATCTTGATGAAGAAACATGTCACCTCACAGAGACCCTGAGAACTCGCAATGAAGGCTACTGTTGCACAAGCACAGGAGCTGTACACCCCACGGGCCTGGACACTTGTTCCACGGTGTGTACAGTGGGAGAACAACCCACTCCATAGCAGGCAAACCCCCTCTCACCGTGCCTGGACCAATCCTCACCTCCCCAGCTGCTGGTACGTGCAAGCAAGCCATGTAGTTTTGTAGGGGTCCAGTGGGAGCAAATGCTTCGGGGATGGAATAAGCTGCCTCCAGCGTGACACTCAGGAGGTTACCATTTGCAAACTGCGTTGCAGAAAGCAGGGGCTCTTTAGTGCACACTGTCACTTCAAGGCCACCCTGTGAGACAAGCATAAAGTAGAGCCAGTAGCTAGACAATTATAACTCTCCTGCTCTTGAGGGAGAAGCAAGCAGAAACCCAAGGCCAGAATGTATAATGTTATCATATTCCTCACCTCAGATGTAAAAGAAAACAGCAGCACGGGAAAGGAATTTCATGATCAATTTGTCTGAATTGTGATATTTGTTTGTTTAAATTGGTGCCTTGGCATGGCATATGCCCCAAGGGTCTCATAAAACGAGCCAGGGAGAAAGAACATCAGGGATGGAAAATAATGATTTTCCCCTGGTGATTCAGAGCATGCCAAGCTAGAGCCACACTTTGACTCTGCCCTATCTCCACACGCTGTGTGCAGTCTTTAATTACCTGTCCCAGCCCTGGATGGATGGTGTGCAATGAAAAACCAGCTGGTCAGCATTTATTATCTCTCCTCCCTAATGAGTGCCCCCCTGCCTGGCTTACTGTGTAACACCTCTCAAATACAGCAAAGTTAATGCAACATCCGCCCCTCCAATTCATTTGCAGTGCTAACTGCAGGCAGACTTAGGAACAAAATTAAGACATGTTTTCCCAGTCACATACTTAATTCCCTGCTTTATTCACTGGGTACTTTTCAACCGGCTGAGTAAGGACCTTGCAGGAAAGGCAGTCAGAGTTTGTACAATAATGGACTCAGACATTTTGTCCACAGAAAGGAAGACTAATAATGTTGGGCAGGTAATCCTGCCTTTGTCTTTTTCTGTATTTTCAGCACGATGCTTTCCATCTTGAATATTTTTTCCAGAGCAGTTTGGTAGCTGCACACATTAACGTTTCCTAGCACGACCTCACCTATCATAGGCAACTAGGGACAGACGTCAATGGGAGTAGGAAAGGCCTCCAAGCTTGTAACATATAGGGCCATAACATAACTGTGATGAGCTCGGCGGCTGAGTCATGCTCGCTTTCCCATTAAAAAGCAGCAGAGAGCCCAATGAGCGAAGGAACAGTTCCAAATTCCACATACCTTGGCCTCCGGGTGAAGGCTCTCTAATGGAGAGGTAGGTACTGCATACAAAGGAGCTGAGACCTTAAATGAACACTGTCCTGGGAAGAAAAAGGAATGCAAACAGCATAAAGTAAGACCCTCTGTAGAGAAATCAACTCCTAACACTGAGCTACTGATGTCACCCCATCTTTCTCCAGACCCAGCTTTCTACAGATGCTCTGAAGTGCATTTTGTCAAAAGGAAGTAAGTTTTAGTCAGGGGTCCATAAGCAAAGATCAAAAAGTGCCAAGGAGTAAGAAATAGTTATGGAGGCTGTGGAAGTCAATGTTGCACCTTGCAGCAGAGGTAGAAGGTCCACCACAGCTTGGCCAAGAGGTACGGTCTTCTCCTTCTGCTTCTTCTCCTTTTGCAACAATTCTACCACTGTCACTAGAGAGAAAAAAAAAGAGGAGCTGGTAGAGTTTCTCAGACAGCTTCAGGGACTGCAAAGGGTCTGTGTCAGCTCTGGCACACACTCCTATTTCATGTCTCAAGGACAACAGCGAAGCCCAGGAGCACAGGCCAACATGAAAGGGGATTCTTCCAGCTGGCAGAGATGGGAACAGAAGTGCTGACCCCCCCACCGCTGCTGCTGAAGTGCTATTCTTGAACGAGTGACTCCTGCAGCAGGCAGGCAGAGCACAGCAGCTGACAGCACCTACCTCCAAGGAGGGACATTCAGCATCATCAAGTACTTACAGAGCACAGGTTTTTGTGCAATGTCATCCAAAGAGTTGGGCCCATTGGGGCTGCTCTCAAAGCTGGTCATGAAATCATAGTTTGCTGTCCCATTTGGCAAGACATCAGTCTTGGAGGATTCTCCCAAGATTGCTCCGTTGTATTCCACACGCACCAGAGTAACTGACATGTTGCTTTTGATAGTTTTCTGTCAAACAAACAGCACATTAAGCACTTGGTCCTGCAGCAACAGGCCCAGAGTCAAAGTTGCCTCAGGCAGGCAGCTCAGTTCAGTGCCCAGGACGGGGTTCACTGGTGGGAGTCTTTGGCTATTCCACTACAGGAATGGGGAAGAGGAGCAGAGTTTCGCCGTGCTGAGACCTCACCCTTCCCTGTCTCTCGGAGGCAAATTTCCTGCTCCACCATGCTGTGATGTCCCAAGAATTATCCACAGCTGTGGCAGGGGAGATGGAGAGGTCCAGGCTCTACCCCAGAAAAGTCAATGAACAACACATCTAAAGCAAATCCAAAAATACCCCAGTGATATTTTTGTGCTTCCACGATACTTGAGACTTTTGTCATCTCCTAAGAAAGTAGCTCCTGAGCTACATGGCTGAGCTCACAGGATACCTGTGTATATCACATGGCTGCAGAATGCCCTGGAATCAAAGGGCTCCAGCAAGCTCTTTGACAAGCTCTGCAATTTGTTTTTCCACTTGCTTTAAGTAGAGATGAGGAGATTCGAATTTTAAAATGTCTCCACAGAGGGGTGGACAGGGATGTGAGAACACAGCACATTGCAGCGGGGATCCATGTGCCCCCACAGCCACGCAAGTAGTGCTGAGACAGGCCGACACCAAAGGGCCTCCCTGCAGGAGAAACATGGTTCACTTCTCAGCCAGGGGAGAGTGGCCACCGCCCTGAACACAACTACTGCTGTACCCAAACCCAGCTTTTCTTTAGTCCTGAGCCACTGGGACACCTAACTTCCACAGGCCTCTCCCTCAGCTCCCTCTCTCCATGTCACTGGGGTAATTAGTTCCATATTGGCTCTTGCAAAAAGAGTTCACTTGGTTTTAATTTTCAGTCCTTCTGTCTCCTTGAGCATACATTCTATGACTAGCTAAACAGAAGAATCCAATTAACCTTTCTCTGTACCATTAATTACCCTAGACTCTTCTCTCATCCTTCTCTACATTACCTCTAATTAAGCAGATTCCACACTTCTTATAGTTGGAATGTTTTTCATATTCTTGTTCTTATAATTGTACTTTTGTAACCCCCTCTCCTTTTGCCATAGCCGTTTCTCAAGATGGAGCAATCAGAACCAGAAAGCAACATTCCAGATGCAATCAGTCCACGGGTCTCTTCTTTTCAGCACTGTTTTTCCTCCTCTTACCTTCTACTTCTCGCCTAAGATGCTGTTTGCTGAATCTATCAGTGTGAGAGGTATTCAAATACTACAATGTAAAAACCTCAAAAAAACAGGCAGGTGCTTGTGGTTCGCTTCTTTTTTTTTTTTTTAATCTGCTTCTAGAGCAGAAGCAGGGATTTGCATTTTTCTGCTTGAGGCAGTAGCTGAGCTTCTCCTCCGCATTCCCTCCCAAATGCCTGTTCCTTTAGAAGACTTTAAGGACAGCTGGGTGTATCACGCAGCACATTGCAATCACAGTAGTCATAGTTTGATTGGAACCAGCTCATAGTCTTGCCCTGTAACTGCACTGGACCCCACTGTCTTTTTAAAACTAGAGCCATCCTATTGGTTTCAGTATGATAGATCATATTAAAACCACTGTAGCTGGGATGAAAGTCTGACTTTATATCCAAGGTGAGATCTTTTGGGGGGTATTTGTCTCACTGATACACATTTTCACTTTGTTTTGCTTAAAAAGGTTGCCATTTACATACAGTTAGGCAGAGATACATTTCAACACAGCATCTCTGGACTGCTGCTGAGGAGGTGCCTTCCCCAAACTACGTGCATCACAAGCCTTTACTCTGGACAAACAAGCCTGCAGTGCAGAGGAGGAAGCCACAGTGTGGCACCACTGAATCTCTGATACCCTCGCCACTCCTTCCTACCTCATGCCTGGTTTCGAATAGAATCATAGGACACAGAATTGCTCTGGCCTCGCTTATTAAATGATAAGAGACATTTTCAAAGGAACTTTACCAGGCCCTGTGCCTTCAGTACTGTGATCTGTACTGGTGTTGCTGGTTGTGACTTGCTGGGAAGAGCTGCAGCAGTGGGCAAGGCAGGGGACTCCTTTCTGGCAGACAGCCCTGCAGGGACCTCCATGGCTCTGCAGGAAAAAGAATGAGGAAAGAAACTTGAAACTGCCTTATTCCTCTCCTCTGTGGCTGCAGGCCACAGCAGCCACGGTTGCTAGCATTATTCAGGGCTTGACTGTCAAAACACCATTGAAAGCACAGAGCTTTGTCAGTGATGAATCTCTCATGAGGAGCAGGGGGAGGACAAGGAGAAATGTAATACAAAAATTATCCAGCTTTGTAAATTTAACCCAGCTGCAGCTCTCGGCTCCTCCATGCACATGGGAGGGGTTCAGTGTGACAGGCTGCTCCTGGCAAGGCTCTCCCCAGCACGGGGTATGGCTCTGGGCTCTCGGCTCTCTTTTGCTGCTTTTTTCACTGAAACGGTAACCTGTGGGGCTGAAGGCCTGTGGTTGCCAGTCCACCCTCACACTGCCAAGGGACCGGGCTCCATCCCGCACGGCAGGTTTGTCCGCGGTGCCTCTGGAAATCCCTCTGGAGACACGGCTGGGCCGAGGCCACCCCTGTGACCCCGCCACACGCCGGACGCTCCCCCAGCTCCAGCTCCCCCCGCCAGGGTGTGGGCTACCAGTGTCTGCCCCGAGGCTGGCAGCATCCTCAGCTCAGCCCCCTCCCGCGGCCCCTCACCACCCCGGCCCCATCAGGCCCCCGGGGGCGCGGGGCGGCGGCGGGGCGCGAACCCTCGGCCTACCTGCCTCCGCGGAGGGCCCGCGGCGGGTAACCACGGCGACGCGCTGCTCCCGCGCAGGCCCCGACGCCTCGCGAGATCCCAGCTCGGCACCACGTGCTTGGGGGCGTGTCCGTGAGGCCGCTGCCGCCGCCATGATGGGTGCGGGCAGCCCTCACAGGGCTCCTGGAGGGGCGGCCTGTGGGGCGGAGGCTCCCCCCGGCCCCCCGGCGCCGGCTGGCAGGTGCTGCGGAGCCACCGTGTCCTTCCCTGGAGCCTGGCATGCCCCTGGGGAGCCCAACCGCTGCCCCAGCTCTGCTGCTGGCCCTTGGCTCCCCCTGGCAGAGGCCACGGTGCCCACTCAGCCGCTCACTGGGAGCCCTGAGGGAGAGGGGGTGTCCCCGCAGGCCGGGCTGGGGTAGGAGCCTCACGGCGGGGGGCTGGCGGGGAGAGGTCCCAGGGGCTTGGGCAGCCACCCCAGCTCCCTCCAGGGGTGCATTGTGGGGTCAGATCCCGGGCAGGCAGGGTTCTGGGGGACCCCTCCGCTGCCACCGGTGTGTGTTTCGGGGTGGGTGCTGGACCCCTGGAGCGGGTTGGCCTGTTCCCTGGGAGGGCATGACCAGAATAGCTCCGCTATCTGATTCCTGACAGAGGGGCCACTGCTCTCCTCTACTGCTATCTTCTTGGGGCTGACATTTGAGCCCAGCCCTCCCTCACCGGCAGTAGGACGTGTGCTGGGGCCGCTTGGCATCACCCGGCTCCTCCGTCCTCCCCGCCAGCGCAGCCAGGGACAAGCAGTGGGATGGCGGGCGGGAGGCAGCGCGGGGGCAGCGGGCGGCGTGGGGGACCTCAGCAGCGCCCAGTGAGTCGTGAAACAGCCCCTGTGCCCTCACCCCTCTCTCCTGCAGCCGCCACAGCCCAGCGAAATGCAGGCGCTGTCCCCAAAACCAGCCACCCAAAGAAGACCGTGGAAGAGCCAGCAGCAAGGGCACCCGATGTGGATTCACTGGGCTTCCAGGCCATGGACTCCAACGTGCCAGGGCTGTCCCATGTCATCCTCCAGAAGCTCAACATGAAGACCTACGAGGACTACAAGTGAGTGAGCACCCCCAGGTGCTGCCACGGGTATGTGTTTCCCCCCCTGGCCAGAGCATCCCATTTGTCCTCCCACAGCTGGAGCATCTGCTCTGGCTCATCCCACCCTCCTGGCTTAGCTGGCATGCGGGGTGCTCTGATGGGGCTCCTGGGTGCACCCCTCCACTAGCCCACTCCCCAGCTCCCTTGAGGAAGTCCAGCTCCCCATCCCCACCCAGCCCAGGCCAGGATGCTCTTGGCTGCAGCAAAAAATTCTGGCAGCCTTGGAGGGAAGATGTGAGCCCTGCTGTGATGGCAGAGCAGCATGGGGCTGGATCCTGCTCACCACCCCCAATGTCTTCAGGTCTGCCATGGATGGGAGGAAGAGTGGCAGCGATTTTGGCATCCGGACTTACTTTGACATGTTTCAGAAGATGGAGGACACCTTCAAGTTTTGCGCTGAGTGCAAGAAGCTCCCCGATGCCCTCCCTGACCCCAAAAGCCTCCGACGATGCAAGAGGTATCAGGGGGAGGTGGTCTGATGGCACAGGGCTAGGTTTGTCCCCTTACTTCCAGTCCGATGGCTGGGGTGAAGCCAGGGGTGTCTGGCCCTGATTCCCACCACAGAGCACCCCAAACCCAGTGATGCAGCCCTGAGAGGGGGTGGCAGGAAGCCCAGCTCAGCAGGTCAGATCCTACACACACACCTCCCCCCAGTGTCTGGGCACGCTGCCTGTCTCCCCAGGTGCCAGAACGTGTACTATTGCAGCGTGGCGTGCCAGCGTGCCAACTGGCCACTACACAAGAAGTTCTGCAAGAAGCTGAAGCTGGTAGCCCTGGATCGGCTGGTGGAGTGGCTCGTCTTCACAGGTGGGCCTGGGGACACTGCTCCCACCCTGAGTGTGCCCTTCCCAAGGGCTGCCTGACACCTGTCACCCTGCACCAGGCTGTGCGGGTCCTGTGGAGGTGTGTGGGGTCCCTCCTCCTGGCTCCAGCCCCCCTGGCTGCATCCAGCCCCCCTGCAGCCCAGGTGGGACAGGCAGCCTGGGCTGTGGAGCCACCACTGCGACCTCCAATGCTTCTCTCTCCTTCCCCCAGGAGACATCCCCTTCCCCACGGAGACCTGGACAAAGCCTGCCCAGGATGTGAAGACCTGGGAGGACTGGTTTGCCATGCAGGGACAGCTGGAGGAGAAGCTGGGTGCCATCCTGGCTGGGCGGTACATGACCCTTCTCTGGGCCAACGCTGGGAAGCCCCGGCCAGAGGACGGGGAGCTGCGTGAATCCATCCGGCGGCTGGTCACTGACTTCCACTCACGGCCACTCACCATCGGCTTGGGGCTGCGGCTTTTTGGCATCAACCCCCTCGCCAAGACCCTCACCGTGCACGTGGTGGGGGCATCCCATGTCGAGACCCTCAACACCCGCCTGACGGACTACGATGAGCTGACACGGATGTTCCCGGGGCACCGGGGCATGGAGCTTGTGATGGTGGGGGTGGACGTGGTCAACGGACCCATCATGAGGCCACCCCTGGCCACACTGGCACCCCAGGGAAGGGTCCATCTCAGCAGCTACAAGGGGCTCTACCATGACTTCTGGGAAAGCCACGTGGAGACCAAGCTGGCCACCCGCCCTGACCTGGTTGTGGGCTTTCACCCGGGTGAGTGTCTGCGCCACAGAGGGGCCCGGACCCTCGCCACCCTACTGCCTGGGGCAGGATGTCCCTGGCAGGATGCTGGGTAGTCCCTGAGCACCCTGGCAGCACCAGGGGCTAAGCCTGCTGGTGGCTTGGGACATGGCCAGGGCTTTGCACCAAGTCACAATGGGCAGCTGGAGTGGCCAAGGGGACCCACTGGGGCTTGGCCATCTTGTGTCCCCCCCAGGCACTCAGAGTCCTGCCTGTGTCACCCACCTGCCCATCAGTGGGTGGGAGCAGCACCCAAAGGGGTCCCTGCCTTCAGGTCTCAGTGTGGTGGCTCAGCTCAGGGCCAGTGGAGGTGGGGAGACAGGACCCACCTTGCTAAGGGCTGCCAAACCCTGTCACTGTGCAGCCCGGGGGTCTCCAGCAAGGAGCGGCTGCTGTTCGAGCCGGCTTTCCCCAGGGCCAGGGTGGGACAGGAGGGGGGTGGGACATTCACCGCAGTGTCCCCACAGGTTTCCATGCCTGCCCGGACCTGCTGGCAGGCTGGCTGCCCACCCTGCTGCTGCTGCGGGACTATCGCCTGCCTGTCCTCTTCACCGTCTACAGGTGAGCATGGCCCCGCTGCCCCGGTGTGCCGGCACAGGCGGTTGGTAATGGCTCGTCTTCCTCCTCTCCCGGCAGCGAGCAGGAGCTGAAGTCCTCCCTGCAGATCCTGGTGGAGCTCGAGATGCACATCATGGGCTATGCCACCAATCCCTTCGCCTCACTCCGGCCCGAGCAGGTCTACTCAAGCCCCAACAAAGCACCTGTCTACTGCAGCTCCTACTACATCGCCCTGCTGGGGCTGGCGGCATCGGCTGTGCCGGGTGCCGAGGAGCTGGAGGAGGATGATGGCTGGCAGGGAGGGGAGCCCAGTGCTGCCGGCGTGGCTGGGGGCAACACCCCGGGACTGGGCTGACCCTGTGCAGACTTGCCCTGCCCTGTGGACCCCCACCCCTCACTGCCCCATCCCAGACCCCATCTCCCTGTCTCAGGATGGGTGATGCAGCCATCCCTTGTCACACACATCCCGTCCCAGAGGACGCGGCACCCCAGCACAGGCATGGCGCCGAATAAACCACCGCTGCCAGCCAGCCGCCGTATCTCGAGCTTTATTTCCAAAAACGCCTTTGTTTTCCCAAAGAAAATGGAGGGCTGAGTCTGCCCCAGCTCCCCCTCAGGTGGCCACGGCCTCTGGAGGGATGGTAAAGGGGACCCCAACTGTGGGACCTGCCATGCATGGGGCTGTGTGGCCCCCAGGGACCTGCGGGGAGCCGCAGCCCAACACCCAGCTGTCACTGTCACACATGTTGTGCCCCTGCACCAGTGCTGCTCCAGCATCACTTATTGAGCTCCACCGCTGCTCAGTCGGGCACCAGCACCCAGCCCAGCCATGGCACATGGGCACTGGCTGCCGCAGCCCCGCTGCTCGGCAGCCTCGGCGGCCCCTGAGGAACACCCTGCTGGGGTGGGCAGCGTCAAGTGAACCAGCCCCTGCAGCATCACCCGATGCTGCCCGGGACCCCACCAGCCTGGCATCCCCTCCCTGCGCAGCCAGCAGGTCCGGCACTGCGATGGTGACAATGTCCCATGTGGGCACCCACGATGGCTCGAGGAGGCCAGTAACCCCCCGGGGCTCCCTGCGCCCCGAGGGTGGGTCTCTCCCCGAGGTTGGCGCCTGTCGGAGGGGCCGTGGCGGGCGGCGGGGCTGGCGGCAGGGCTGGCACTGTCCAGCTGGGGAGGTGGCACGGCACAGCACTGCCAGTGTCACTCGGCGCCAGCGCGTTCCCGCAGCGCAGGCAGCGTCAGGGTCTCCGGCGCCGACTTCTTGCGCGGGCGAGTCTTGGGGGGAGCAAGGAAATCGGGGGCCTCGTCGCTGAGGGGGGTGGAGGGGGCGCTGGCAGGGGCCGAGTGAGTGGCCGTGGGCTGCTCCACCTCGCTGACTGAGATGGTGGGTGCCACCAGGCCGATGAGCTCGTTGGTGGCCTCCTGCGTCTCCCGCTCGTAGCGCCGCACCTCCTCCATTGTCATCCCTGCCGAGCACAGCCGGGCTTGGGGCCGCTCGGCACAGCTGCATCCTGCACCCCATCAGCCTGGGGCAGCCTGTGCCCTGCGCCCCAGCTCCCCGCCGAGCTGGGTGCCGGGAAGGGGACAGGGGCTGGGGACAGGGGGACGGGCAGGGAGGGGGACGTTGGGCAGTGCAGGCAGCCCCCGGCTCCAGCACCAGCCCAACCAGCGGAGGGGAAGGGACGGACAGACAGCGCAGGCAGCGCACGCAGGGGTCGTGTGGGGAGAGGCACCAGGCCGGGGGGAACCCTCTGCTGCGGGGTGCAGGGGGGGCTTGGTGTGCACTGTGCACAAGCCCCTCTGCCTGCACCTGCCTGCAGGCAGCGTGGTGGGGTCTGGGGTCTCCATCCCCTGCAGGCAGCATGTGACAGGGCTGCCCGCTCAGTGGGGGTTAGGGGTGCTGGCTCCCCAGCTTTTGGTTTGTGGCCACTTGCATCTGAGTCTCGAAGGCCCGGACCTCTTCCAAGGACATGTCTGGAAGGCAGAGAGCCGCTGACCGGGGCGGCCCCGTGCCTGCTGCTGGCAGCTGTCAAACCTAAGGCTCCCGTCTGCACGTGGCAGCTGCCTGCAGCATGTCTTCCTGCCAGACCGGGGGTGCAGGCAGCGCAGGCAGGGATGCTGGGGCTTCTCTTTGGGCCCCCCGCTTCAGCCAAGCCTTCCCCAGGTGTGCGGCAGAGCGGGCAGCGTGCGGGGGTGCAGGCAGGTGTGAGGGCAGGGGGAGCGGAGCAGAGCGGGCAGTGCAGGCAGCGGGTTGCAGGGAAGCTGGAGGAAGAGCAGGAGCTTCCCGTGGGGTTAGTGGCATCGGTGGGTAAATTCGCAGTCCCCTCCCACCCTGAGGGTCCGGGGCCACCCCAGAGACCGTGTCCCCCCCTCACCGGCAGCGCCAGGGCAGCCCCACGGACTCACCGCACCACTCGTCCACCCAGGTGAAAGCCTGCCGGTGCCCAATCAGCAGGATGTCCCGGATCACCTGCGACACACCGTGGGGGTCACCACCCTGTCACTGTCCCCCCAGTGTCCCCCTGCCCTGGCCTGGGCCTCCCCCCCGCCTCACCTTGTGCACAAACTGCTCCACCCGTGTCTGCAGCCCCCACACCTCGAACTTGACGCTCACCAGCTTGTAGGAGCACATGATGGGTCTGGTGTGCTGGCGCCAGCCCTCCCGCAGCGGCCCCCGGCCCGTCTTGGCCGAGCTGAAGAAACGGGGGTCCTGGGGGGGCAGAGTGGGGCTCTGAGCACCCTTCCCCAGGACAGGGGACAAGGGGGTGTCCCCAGGGAGCTCCCCCTGTTGCCACCCACGCTACCTCCAGGCTGCGGTAGTAACGCTCGGGGATCTCGTCAAAGGCGATGTCCAGGAAGGAGACCTCGTGGTCACCCAGGATTTTATCGCTGTGGAAGATCTGGGGAGGAGAGGGAGGGTGAGAGGCACCGGCCATGCGTGTGTCCCCAGCAATGAGTATCCAGGTCTCAGCTGTGGTGCAGACTCACATTCTCGCTGTCCCCGCAGTTGTCCTCGTACTTGGTCTCGATGTAGATGGAGAACTTGGGCAGGAAGGAGCACTGCAGAGGATGGCTGTCAGACAGCCCTGCGGGACACCCATCCCGAGGGACACCCACTCCCAAGGAAGCCCACCCACAAAAGACACCAGGCCCCAGGACACCCAGCCTCAAGGGACAGTCATCCCCCAGGACACCCAGCCTCAAGGGACACCCACTCCAGGGGACATTCATAAACCAACACAAGCCTCAAGGGACACCCACCCTCAAGGGACACCCACCCCCCAGGATGCCCAGCCTCAAGGAATGCCCACCTCAAGGGATACCCAGCCCAGTGCCCCCTCCCCAGCCATGCCAGGTGCTGGGGAAGGGACCAGGTCGTTTCGCCCCCCATGCCACCTCCTTACCGTGTACTCTGCAGGGACACCGTGGCACATCAGCATCATGGGGTGGCATTACCAGATGGCATCACGCAGGAAAGAGGGAGCAGTGAGACCGGGAAGCGGCACCGGGTGGGCTCTGCTGGCAGCCCGCTGCCACCGCCAGTGCCCCGTCCCCACACCCTGCCCGGGGCTCACCAGTGATGGTGTAGGGGTAGTAGTTCCAGGCCTTCTCCGTGATGTAGAAGATGCGGGGTGTCACCGCCCGTGCCCAGCTCGGCAGTTTACTGGGGGGGACCATGGTGGGGGGTGCTCTGCTCAGGGCAGGGTACAGCCAGCAAGCACAACCCTGCCCCGTGCCCCCCAGCCTGGCTCCACCGAACGCAGCCCCACCTAGCACAGTCCTGGCTCTGGGACCCCCAACCCCTCTCTAGGGACCCCACCTGCTCCCCAGGACCCTCATCTCCACCCCAGGACTACCCCCAATGACCCCTGCCACCTTCCTAGGACTCTCACCTCCACCCCAGGGACTATCCCAGGGATCCCCGCCACCTCCCCAGGACCCTCATCTTCAGCCCTGGACCATCATCTGCACCCCACAACCTCTCCAGGGACCCAT